AGGTACAAACTATGTAGATTAACCAGTTTCGTAATAATTTTTTTGATCCTTGCATTTATTTTTGTGTTGTTTGCATTAAATGATATACATAGATAATTTTTCTGATTTTCCAACCTTTGCAAGAGAATCAGCACAAAAGTTTCCAAATTCGGTTTTCATTGATCGCGTTAAAGAATCGTATCTAAATAAAAAGAATATACTTGATCTTTTAGAAAAGCACATAAAGAATAATTTAATAAAAGTATGTATGATTCTGAAACTGCTATATTATACGTACTTATCGTGTAATTTGTAATGTAATAATACACATGACATATTTATTAATAGATTGGAGACAAGTTTTATAGACAATGTACCGGTATTTCACAAGGGTCAATCGTATCTACACTGCTTTGTAGGTTTGTATTAGCATAATTGATATATATATATATATTTATCGATACGTATATATACAATGATGACTTACAGTTTAACAATTTTTAGCTTTTATTATTATGAGATGGAATGGGAAGTGTTTCCCTTTGTTAAGCATTATGATGGCGTAAGTAAATGTATCGATTTTAGAGAGCTTGGTGTTCCTCTTGGCTGTATACGTACTAGCAAAATTGTCGACTCTTAAAGCATACTGACAGTTAAAATATGTAATTATACGTACGTATTAATATATAGACAAGCTTCTAAAAGAAAACAAAATTTCAGACTTTGAATTTTCAAAGCTAAGTTAATTTATTGTAAATTTAAAAGCCTGAAGTCTGATTTTCTTTTAATAATACTCGAATTCAAACGATGAGTATTATAAAAAAAATATTGATTAATCTAAATATTTAACATAAGCTAATTACTTAATTTTACTATTCGCGTTAATTTAGAAGTGTGTCCCTAAATGGAGGTAAAAGGAAGGAAAGCCTGGAACGATATTCCAGGAATGGGTTTAGGTCTGGTCGGACTAAGGTTAGTAAGCTAACGGAGTTATAAAAATAAAGTACAGACGTAGATTTAGGGATAGAAATATACTTGGGTTTTTGTAGCAAGCCTTCAATGTACTTCGAAAGTATAAAAGAGCTACCTTTTCGCTCTTCAAATAAAGCTTTAGACTTCAATGTCTTTAATATAGGAGTATTAAGAATTGATTTCTCAAATGTTGTTATAAGTTTGTTATATCGTTGTATTTATTATTTTCTTAACCGTGAAGGCTCTTCACGATCGTATTATTATTACCTTTTGTTCTATTAGGTATATTGCATACGCCATCCACCTTGAGGACGTGAAACACGTCATTTATATTCGATCAAGGCTTGAACTTGTTAAATTAATCACTTGATTGATTACCGGTAGATATAATTAAGTGCCTCGAATTAATTACGTAATACCACGTGCACAAGTTATTATTTTACTACCCTTGTTTTAATATAAGGAATATATAAGTTCACTATTGGAGCTAGATTGTGCCGATAACGTAAAAAGCTCTCCCAAACAATAGTAACAGTATAAAGAGTACTGTCATGAGTTTTCTTTCCAAAACCGTGACTGGATAGTAATGGAAATATGTATTAGGAATATCGGAGGATCCAAATATTTATTTGTTCGCCATTTTTATTTATTTTTATACGTATCTATATTTTTATACGTATAAACATAGTATTTTTATAAATAATTTAATCTACTTTAGCTGTTTCTCAAAAGTGACTAAGGTAATCACGCTCGATGTACTAAGTAAAAATGCTCAGAATGCTCGAAAACTTTCCCCAGACCCCTAATTTAAACTTTAAAATCTAATCCTAGCTTCAATATTTGATTCAATTTTTTTTTTGCAATTTTACGTAGTTTTATATAAAAATATATATAGATTTATATAAATAACTTATAAATCTACATTGTGTTTATAAAGTATAGATTCAATAAAAGTTCCATAAAAATTTTATACGTATACGTAGATCTATGTAAAAATGTACTTGCTAATGTTAAATAATAAGAGGCGAAAGTACTAGAGTATAGTCGTAGACAAATGCTTAGACAAATGTCTGGGAAAGGAAAAATTTGGTATAGTACTAGTTAGGAGGAGTCCCGAACGGTTAAAAACATTATTATAAGAATAGATAAACATTAGTCGCGTACTAAAAAGTTCCTTTATGGTTTTCTAATGCATTTTGAAAGTATAAAAGAACTGCCTTTTCGCTCTTCTAATACGTAAACTTCAAACTTCGATGTCTTGGTTATGAAGGATATAAGAAGAATCGATTTCTCAATTATTATATACGTATTTTGGTTTTATTATTGCAACTGTTAAATCGCTTAATTATTACCCCTTGGTCTATAGATGGCGGTAGAATTCAAAAAAGAAAATTATAATAATGATTACTAATCAATTTCATTGTTAAAATTTCTATTTTTGAATTCTACCGCCATCAATCTACGTACGTACGTACGTATACCTTGATCTATAGATCTATAAGTGCATTGGTGCATTGCATATGATTAAGTGCCCGATCTCGGATTAATTACATAACTCACATGCACAAGTTATTGTTATAATTGATTATTTTATATATTTTATTATTTTAGTTCTAATACGAAGAACATTTGTATTATTACGTATTTAAGCATCGTATATATATAAAATAAGAGATTCAAGATAAGCATAAATGACAGTTATTAATTTAAGTTCGTATTAAAAATAAGCATTTCAAATGCATGACTACGTATGTATTTATTAATTACTTTCATTTATTTAGGAGTATAAGAAGCGTTTGTTAAACTAATTAAGAACAGTCTACTCTGGATATAACGAACCTTTCTATAACGAACTCTGGATATAACGAACTTAAAATTTAAAATATTAACCTTACTTTGCACTCTACTCAGATTGATAATGCGTCGCATTGTTCCATTTGATCCTTTTGGAAGAAATCGAACAGTAGAATATCCCAAAATACTATTATCTAAAAACTGGTTTTCAGTTTCCTACAAATAAAACATAAAATCAATTACTAAATTGTGAGGTGTCAAAGATATGTTTTTTAACCATGAATTTACATACTTTGGGAACTTCTTCGAAGGTGCTCGCTGGTAAAGATTCTATATTATATTTTTCAATTCGTAACCAGATATCTTTACGGTACGTAGTAAAACACGCGTTTCTTGTATTTTGCATTGGTAGTTATATAGAAATTAGTCTGAGCAATATATATGAATATTATAAAATAAAATTTAGTAACAAGAAACTTGAATTGAAAAAGTACCAAGAATTCGAATTTCTCTTACTTGAAGTAGTGGAATAACAAAACAATCAAATATCCACCAAATAAATTCATATAAAAGTTCGGATCTTTTATCAGCTTCGACTTTGTTATTTTTGTTGCCCTCCACAAAAATCCACTTGCACCGTGTAATCTTAAATTCAATGGATAAATAATATTTAGAGCTGGTGAAATATGTATATGATGAAATACGTAACAGATAAAATTTATATACCTTGAATTTATTTAAAACATAGTGTAGCGAGAGTTTCTCACAATATCTAAGCGCGATAAACTTTTCTACAACTAATATACGTAATACGTAAGAATAGTAATAATAATAATGAGAATATGTAATTTATATTAATGGTAATAAATATTACTTCAATTATTCCAAGTACTTATGCATACGTATTACCTTTGAATATTACTTGTTGATTATCATTACAACCCAAAAAATCCTCTGGAATTACTCGTTTTAATACTGTACAAACAAATCTGGTAACATATATTTATTAAAATATAAACAAAAATTTAGGCTATTAGAAAATAGAAATATCAAATCGCAAAATTATTCATAATAATGCAAAAATACCCGATATATATTTGAATTGGAGTTGAAATCCTGGATATAAGAATTATCATCTGTAGAAGGAGCGGATAACCTGTTTTGCTCCTGTTAGAATCAAGAAAAAAAAAATTTAAAATTATAAATTATTTATATTTATTGAGTTGATTTTGTAATTGAGATGCTCTCCCACCATCACAGGGCAATAACGCTTGAGTAGGCTTGTGTATCCACATTTTTTATGTCGTGAAATAATTTGGTTTATCATGGGAAGCACTTGAATCAATCGAGATGGCATATCAACATTAAATTTCTAAAAATAAATTTTCATCAATATTTGTGTTTGATGTTTAGTAAATATAGTAAATTAAAAAAAACCTGAATCTCAGTAATGCGATTTTGATACAATCGAAATAACGACTGCACGCTTGGCTGCCCATTCTTGTCATGATCAAACACGTTACGAAGTCCAAATTGCTTTGGAAAAATATGCTGTATGACGTCTCTTGACACTTTGGTAACATTCAAAACATCTGTAAAATATTAATATATATGCACATATAATTAATAAAATATTAATATGTATACTCATACGTATAATCAATAAA